CAGGCCGTAATCCTGGGCCAGAGGCATCAGGCCTGGGCTGGGGCCAGAACCAGTGATGGGAGAAAATGAGGGTCCCCTGCCCAGGCCGGACGCCTCTGGCAGAGGCGTCCGACCTGGGCACGGGGCCGATCCTGTGATTGGAGATTGATGGGGGTCAATGCCTGAAGGCTTCCAGTATGTGAGAGGGGGCAGGCTGGGCTGAGGGACACTCCCCCTCACCCCCACCCAGTGCACGAATTTCGTGCACCGGGCCCCTCGTAATAATAATAGAAGACATTTTTTGAATGCCCACTCTGTGCAAAGTACTGGATTTAGTGCTACTCGGAAGCACAGAGAGTAGTAAAAGAGCTAGAATACATTGACCTGTCACACTTGAGCTTCTCATAAATGCTTAAAACTGCACATCAATCTGTCTTTTCCAGATGAGGCACCTGGGGTCCCACGTGGGAAGGTGACTCATCCAAAGTCATGCAGCTAATGACATTCAGAGCTAAAACTTAGAACCATCTCTCCTGAGGTCCAATGTCCTTTCAACATACCAGGCTACCTAGTACCCATGGACTTAAATGGGTCAAGTGTTATGGCAGGTGGAGAACTAGGGTGAGGTGATCAAGGCAAAATTTTCACAGGTGCCCAAACGCTTAGTAATCACACTTAATGCAAAAGAAATCCATGCTGAACAATAGATCAAAATCTTCAATGAAGTCAGGATCAGACTATTTGCATGACCCAACCTCACTTGCCTCACCCTAATCTTGGTCCTATGTCATGCAATCTGAACTTTTGGGTGGACCAAGGGGGAAACTAACAAGAAGATATTCCCACGGCTGGGAAAATTGTAAAGGAATTCCTGAATGTATAGAGTGAGGTGTTCAGATTTTCAGAGATGGGCCACAAACTACCCACAGTTGTATCCTGAGATAAAATAGCTCATTTTGTTTTGTTCTTAAATTTTTATTTATTGATTTGAGAGAAAAGGGGAGAGAGAGAGAGAGAGAGAGAGGGAGAGAGAGAGAGAGAGAGAGAGGAGCATCGATTTGTTGTTCCACCCATTTCTGCACTTATTGGTGCCTCCTGTATGTGCCCTGGGATTGAACCCACCACAACCTTGGCGCATTGGGACGATGCTCTAACCAATTGGGCTACCTGACCAGGGCTCATTTATTTTATTTTAATAAGAAACTGACACTGAAGAGCATGGGGGAAATCTCAAGATGTGACAGTGGGTCGTGCCAACCAATAAAGGACACTTTTCCCATAATGAACCCAGAGTCCTGAGGGCCTCACAGTGGGGTTTGATTGGAGGGCTTTGACCGAAACTAGAAACTGAGTTACAAGTTTTCTTTCACTTCTTTTTCTTCAGTCTCATTTGTGTCCTGTGCCTGAAGTGTTAAGCCAGGACCTGGATATATACTATTTGAAACTACCCTTGCCCTTCGAAGGCCAAGAAGAAGTCACAGTGGGTTCCGGGAGGAGAGGAGAGGAGAGATGCTTGGGCAAATGCAGGCCTGTAGGCTCCTATTCGGTCGAGTTCAGCATGAGAGACCAAAAGGAGACTTGGGGTTTAACCTGCTGTGGGGCAGTAAAGGCTACGCATGCGCCTGAACATCTTCAGCATCCAGCTGCTGTGGGCAAGGTGGAAGCTGGCTCAGGTTCCCGGCCTAGCGATGGGGTGCCTCACTCTCCCACATTTTGCAGTGACTTTAGCAGGAGAGTCAGAGTCAGCCCGAGGGGTAGCAGAGAGTGGGTGAGTGTGGGCCTCTGACACAGGTGTGACAGGAGCACAACGTCCAAAACTGTCCTCAAACGCTGGCTCCACTAGGCCTGGAGGTGAGGAGTGGTGAGGAAGAGTCAAAGAAAGAACCAAGTAGCTTTCTCTTTCCTAGACGATTCTCAGCTTTCTCTTATCTAGTCACCCTCATTTGCAGGGAAGAGTGGCTCATTGTGTTTGTTTCAGGTTTTTCTTCATTAAGCCACAGGGACAGCTCTGGGGGGACACACAGTAGACATTCTCTAAATCTGCATCAGAGAGGATTTCTGTGCTTTGGGTGCTTAAAGCAGTTAAGAAACTGAGCATTTAGAAATTTGGATAAAAATTCTAACCATGTCAGCTTGCCAACTAAGTGGCCTTTGCAAGTTCTTTAATTTTCCTCACCTTCAGTTTTCTAATCAGTAGAGAATAAGGGCTCAAAAATAATATCTGTTGTCACAGATTCTTGTCCCTAAAGGATGACGTTAAAGGTCCCGTTCACACATGCATCAGTGCCTTCTGTAGTATCCCCATTCAGCAACCATTCAGTGCCTGACCCCCCATAGAGCCCACGCAATGCAATCTGTCTGTTTGGTTTGTTGTGCTGTAGGTTTTTAACATTCTCTAATTTGATCAGTTCTTGCTTCTAATAAGCCAACATTTCCCTGGCTATTAGGCCAACATTTTTGGCCCTAGCTCCAACACTGGAAAAACACAGAATAAACACCTTACTTTTTCCTCATCTTCAAGTGTCTGAAAATGGCTATCAGCCTCCTTAAGTCTTCCTTTTTCACTGATTTCTTCAACCATTCCAACAAAGCCATCATCTCAAGTTCCTGCAGTCTCCTTACTCCTGTCTTTTTCACTACTTTAGTTTTCCAGTGGTCTTCTCAAAATCAGTTTTGCAGACCTCAACAAGCTAGTCCAAATACAGACTGGCCACGACAAAGTGGAGGGCTGAGGTGGCTCCCTTTGTTTTCCTTACCATAAAATAACTAAACGTGTTAATGATGACTGTCTTCTAAACTATCACAGTGATAATTCTGGGGCCCAATTGTTTGATTATTACCTTTCAACTTGGTTTAACTTTATTTTTCACTTCTACATTTCATCCTGTACTCCCTCCTATCTCCTCCTAGGGGAGAAAAAAGGCAACGATATTTTCAGGCACAACCTTGTATGAATGGGAGGAAGTTTTAGAAATGTCGCTTTTCCCGCCTCCCTCCACTTTTTTTTTTTTTGCTGTCCTGTTGAATAAACATTACTGTTGCTATCAAAACAAGTTTCCCATCTGCCCCCTCACCAAGTTCACTTACTACTTCTTTGAATGATGAACAGTATTGTTTTGTGAGGTGCCTATAACTTCAATATGATCTGTAAGTTCCTTGACTATTGTTCCTTTTCCTTTAGAACAAGAGCCTTCTCTTTAAGAAAGGAAATACCTTGCCCCGAGACTTCTGTAAATGTCACTGACAATGTGTGATTGAGAACCAAAACATCTTTAGTGCCAAGTAATGATGAAATAGAAAACAAAGGTATATTGTGATAGAGGCACAAACTTCCACTCTGTGCCCCTGACTTTTCTGAAGCATATCTCTGACTGCAGAGATTTCAGGTCTTGGTAAGGATTCTAGACTTACACAAACATAGTCATGGTCAACTTTTAAAACAATGTTTAAGCCATGGTGGTATCTATCTATGAGATGTTTTGTGAACTGTTAGGGACCCTGTTGTGTCTGCTGCTTCCAAAGTCAGTTCTTCAGGAGTCATAACACTGCCCAGAGGCCATTGAAAAGGATTAACTCTTTTCATTTTGATTGTCGGAATGAAGAGATCAAAAATATAAATTGAGATCTCCAGTAGCTATCAAGTCATTCCCCATAAAAATAAAGGTCCAGAAGTCCTGTGCCATCAAGGTTTTCAAATTCAGTGCCCACATTCCTCCTGCTAAAAAATTACCCATCACATAGAAATCCTTTTTCAAGGAAATACTGATTTGGGGGTTTCTTGTTGCGATAAGCAAGGCTTTGAAATATATCGTCAATGATGGTGGTTCTTCCCCAGACTTTGGAGAGGAGTGAGATAATGACCTAGATTATATCCTTTATTTATTTTTTTAAAGATGAAATCACTATTTCATTTATTGATTTGAGAGAGAGAGAGATGAATTTGTTGTTTCACTTATTTATGCATTCATTGGTTGATTCTTGTATATGTGCCCTGACCTAGGATTGAACCCGCAACCTTGGTGTATTGGGACAACGCTCCAACCAACTGAACTACCTGGACAAGGTTAGACTATATCCTTCAAAGGTGAGTAAGTTGCTCTTTTAAAAGAGAGAAGTAGTCCTAGCCAGTTTGGCTCAGTGGATAGAGCATCAGCCTGTGGACTGAAGGGTCCTGGTTCAATTCCAGTCTAAGGGGACATGCCTGGGTTGTGGGCTTGATCCCCAGTGGAGGGCGTGCAGAAGGCAGCCAATTAATGATTCTTTCTCATCGTTGATGTCTCTCCCTCTCCTTTCCTCTCTGAAATCAATAAAAAATATATTTTTAAAAAATAGGAAGATGCTGTAGATTTCCGGGGCCGGAGGGTGGGGGGAGAATAAATAAAAGAGAGAAGTAGCCAAAATCGGTTTGGCTCAGTGGATAGAGCGTCGGCTTGCGGACTGAAAGGTCCCAGGTTCGATTCCGGTTAAGGGCATGTACCTGGGTTGCCGGCACATCCCCAGTGGGAGATGTGCAGGAGGCAGCTGATCGATGTTTCTAACTCTCTATCTCTCTCCCTTCCTCTCTGTAAAAAATCAATAAAATATTTTTAAAAAAAAAGAGAGAGAAGTAAGAGAAATATAATGCAGTATTCTATTTTCTCACCAGCCTTGGCCAGATATGGGAATAATAATGGCATTTGGGGGCTGGGCACAGGGGTCCCCCAACTCAAACACCTTCAGAAGGCAGGCATATTTTTTTTATTGACTTTAGAGAGCGAGAGGAAGAGAAACATCAATCTGAGAGAAACATCAATTAGCTGCCTCCTGCACACCACTTCTGTAGATCGAACCAGCCTGTGCCCTGACTGGGAACCGAACCCGTGAGAACCCGTGACCTCTCAGTGCATGGGACAATGTTTAACCCACTGAGCCACACCAACTAGGGCGGTAACTGCAATTATTGAGCTGACCACCACTTTTTGAGGATTTCCTTATGTGATCATCACAGTAACTCTATGACTTCGTACTATTACTATTCCCATATTACAGTAGTAATAGTACTATTACTGTTTTCAGGAAACGGAGATTTTGAGGTAGTAAGTGGTTTGTCTAAGATTCCACAGCCAGGAAGAGCAGAAGACTAGGATTTGAAGGCAAGCATTCTGATTCCAGAGTCCATACACCACTTTCTTCCCTGATATTTAAATTATACCTGTGTTTATTATCTTACAGTCTTGAAAAGGAATAAAGCCTGAAAGTTTCTCCCTGGCCCAAGGTTAATCATTCACTCTGTTTTCTCCCAGCAATCAATAGTTATCCCAATTGTACAAGTGGGGACACTAACAGCTGGGTGGAGCATTAGTACAGCTGGAACTTAACTAGGCGTTGACTCTTCAAATACGTGCTGTGTCTTCTTAAACTGTCCAAGTGAAGCATGGTCAGCCTTCAAGTGCCTTTTATGAAAAGACCTTGATCCCAGTAGAGTGAAAATAGGTATCATTTCATTTCCACTGGATTCAGTTGTTCTCACTTTTTGTTCGTAAAGGAAAAACTCCCAACCTCGCTGCCTTTAGAAGTGAATAAGACAATTGTATGTCTAAAATTAATTAGCTTTTCTATTTGAGGTTGACTTTCAATGCCAACCCAATAAAGAAGTCATTGTGAAGGATATACTTCGTTCAGCTAAGCTTCCTGAAAACTTCTGTTAATTTCCTAAGTGAATGTCTCTCAAATATCCCTCATTTCCATTCTCACTCTCACTGCCTAGGGCCCTTCCATCTTTGACTTCAGTTGTGACAACATCCTCCCAAACTGCCACCAGATGATATTTACAAAAACAAAGATTGATGATGTCACTCCCTCCTACAAACCTTTTTATTTGCTCCCAACTGGCAATGGAGTAAAATCCAAATGCTGAAGCATGGTATTCAAAGGATTCATTACCAGAACACTCCCCTTTCTTGTTGTCTCTTTTCCAGCCAAACCAAAAAGTTTCCATTCATCCTAATATGCCAAGGAATATTGTCATTTGTTTTAATGTCTGACATTAAGCAATAAAGGACATGGGAGCTACAGTTGGGCAACATACTTCTCTATTAAAGAATAGGCTTGCCTTGGGTTGGGGTTAGAGGGTACAATCTATAATCGCTGTTCTCTACCTCTTACGAACCAGCAATAGCTGTCAGTATCACACCCAACCTCCATTTCCATTTAAACCTCCTTGGCATCTTTATAAAACACTGCTATGCCTCAACACCTTCCAAGCTGAGATTGTTCACCCAGAGGACCGCCAAACATTCTACTGGTGCCAAACATACTGAGTGCAATCTGGAGTGTGGTATACAGTTTATATTTGATAGCTAGTGGAAAACACTGAACAATGCCTCAAAAATAACCCTTATGCCATACACACACACACACACACACACACACACACACACACTTTTCAAAAAATGTCTCTTCCCTAAGAAGACAGCCCTTGAGAAATTAAGTTTGCTTACCACATATGTTTTCTGGGTCATGGATATGTGGTTTTCACCAGAGAGCTTCTCTCTCATGTCCACTGATTCATTCAACTCATTCCTGTCATCAATCAGAAGCAAAATACATGTTCCCTCAAGAACCCTTATGGTTTTCACAGGAAACACATTCAGCTCTTGAGTTCTTTTTTTTTTTTTTTTTTTACCAGTGTGTCTGGGGGGAACCTTACACAGGCAATCCACATACCCAAAGGTCAATCACATTGAATCCTTCTCTGTTCAAAGTAGATTAAAGCCTAAATTTTCTTAAGATTCTGTTAGGTATACATTTTAGCAATGGTCCCTGGAAACCTATCTGACTCAACATTATGGAACTAAATTAAACCTCTCTGCACTCACCAAATGTTCTGCCAGAAGGCATCTTTGTGTTCGTCAAGGTAGATAAACAAAATGCCTCCCTCTAAAGCCAAGCCTCGTTTAAAACCACATTGAAAAGTTTAATGATACACATTTCTACCAGATGTCCTTTCCCCAAGTCATCTGGATTTCTTAGACTATTTATCACTACACTTTCTGCCAGAACTCTTGCACTGAAATCTATTTACTCAGAAAAGAGTTTCAGCTTTACCATCCAGTAAATCGGAATGGATCCGAAACCAATTTGTTTAATTCAATAAGCAATTCTGTGCTCCAGAACTAGACATTTGCCACTTGAGCATCTGGGTAAATGCTGCCCAGGAAAGTGAAAACTTGGGTCCTCACTGCAGCCGAATCCCTGCAGTAAATATGCCTCTTCACATTCTTTGGAAGCCAAAACCACAGATTTCAGGGACGCTTCTCTGAACTTTGCTCCACCCCAAGCATGTCTTACACATTCCTAACAGTCTTGGGCGGATCTGCATATATTCATGTCCACATTGCAGCCTGCCACTTACTGAAGTGGCCACTCAAAAGATTTTATGATCATGTAGACCTTTATTAGTCTTTATTTCAGTCAGAATTATTTATTTGCCTTTCAGCAGCACATATGGTTTAAGACAAATACGGTAGCTATTTTCTCTTTTTAGTCAAGTCTAAAAACTGCATCCTGGCATTGTTACTGTGTTTCTCCAAGTGCTTCCAAATTGATAAAAGCATACAATATCTCAATGGAAAGTCACTGCCAGCCAACACGGTTTGACTGTTTAATAAATGACAATGGGCCTAGCTGGTGTGGGTCAGTGGTTGAATGTCGACCAATGAGCCAAGAGTTTGCAGGTTCGATTCCCAGTTAGGACCTATGCCCAGATTGCAGGCTCAATCCCTGAAGGGGGCATGCAGGAACATCCCCCACTGGGGACATGCCCGCAACCCAGGCACATGCCCTTGACCGGAATCGAACCCGGGACCCCTCAGTCTGCAGGCTGACGCTCTATCCACTGAGCCAAACCGGTTTCGACTCTAAAGTCTTTTTAAAACATATTTTAAATAAATATCTTAAATAAATAAATGACAATGTTTCCTTCAAGTCTGCATTTAAAGACCTACCTACTTTGGCTGCTATCCATCCTCCTTCCAGTTACTACCCAACAAGGCTCCTTTCCATTGCCCAGAAATCCCCCCAGTTTCACCTGAGTCTGCACTCCCATCCCCCCATCACTTCTCCAAAACACATATGCATGTGCCACATGGTTAAACTGAGTAGATTTCCCCCATATTTTCTTTCTGTACCTCTTTTTGCCCTTTCTTATCTCACCAAGAATGAACAGGTAAGTATAATATGACATGATTAATGAGCAAAATACCAATTTTTAAAAGTTTGAAAACAAATCTCTTTAAGTTTAGGCCTTAAATTTAAATTGGCAGACATGCACAAGGTAGTAAGTTTTTTTGGAGATCATATTTTTACTTTGAGGTTACAGATATTATTTTGAGATTGCATTTTCACACCATTTGCATTCTCATATGTATTGTGTTACTTTTTTAATCACCAGAGGATTTTTTAAAATATATTTTATTGATTTTTTACAGAGAGGGGGCTGATGGAAAGGTTCCTACAGGAAATGCAAAGAAGAGAAAAGAATGGAACATCAACAGTGAGTAATATCTACTTTTTAAATAATGAATGATTAAGGCAAAGTAGAATAATTACAAGGTCTAGCTTTCTTTCTTTCTTTGCTTTTGTTGTTGTGACACCTTGCCTGAGGGTGATTTTTCCATTGATTTTAAGAGGAGGATATTTTTATGTGGGGGTGGGGGGGGGTGGGGAGAGAGAGAGAGAGAGAAACATTGATTTGCTGTCACATTTATTTATGCAATCACTGGTTGATTCTTCTGTGTGCCCTCACCGGGCATCAAACTGTAACCTTGGTGTATCAGAGTGACACTCTAACCAACTGAGCTACTCGGTGGGGCTACTTCTGTTTTAATGTGTAGATTTCCCCTTTACAAAGCTCAAAACTTGTACAAATTTGCCTGCCCCAAGGGTCACAAACTTGCAGCTGGACTGAATGTGGCCCATAGCTATTTTGTTTAAAACAGTAATGTAGAATTTGGAAACTTTTCACATTAAAAATATAAATATTCAGTGAGTCTTCAAAAACTCTGGCAACACTAAGTGCTCATTTTCCACATGGAGACAGTTGGCTAGAACTGAGAAGCTGCTGTTCACTGAAAGCAAGTCCACTGCTCTTCGGTTCACCCAAACCCCATTATCTCCGGATCTGGGGTACTGCACCCCTTACAGCCACCACCTGCTCCTGGGACATTTAGATGATGAAATAAAGGGCAGAGGACCTTAACTCTGCCAACACAGTATAGCTCCAGTATCATCACAACTCAAGATCTGCCCCTCCTTTTCTTATAAAGCAGGCGACATACCAGCCAACCATAGTCAATTGCAAAAACTCCCATATTCAGTCTCATTGGTTAAAAAAGAGTGTTCCTGAAATGCACTGGCTGTTTCCTCTGCCTTGAAAACTTGCCTGAAAATATCCACATGACTAGCTCCCCAACCTGGGTAGGACAGGTGTAAATTCTGCCTTACTTTGCACTTTTCTCCATCTCACCCCTACCTTTAGCATCACCTCCACACAAAAACATCTGCTCTAAGTCGTGGGGGAGCGCCAAGCTTATATTTCCCATGAACAATTCAGCTGGGCAGCATTCAGCTCCTCTTGAAGATTGTTCCCCTCGCCTAAACTGGGCTTGGCACCTAGGCCGCTTATCTGCTTTCTGGAAGATTAAGAACCTTTCTCGTACAGTTTTCTATTTGAAGAGATTCTGTTCAGATAGATCCCTCATCCTCAAGGTACTGCCTCACCCCAAGAGAATTGTGAAGAGGGGTGGTGGTGTCCTTCATCAGACCCTGTGATCATTTGGGTCAGTAATGACATTGGAAGTGGGAGGCTCCTGGCTTATGGTGAGAATAGTGGTTGTGTGCAATTAGGGGTTTTCCACGGGCTTGTCCATGCTTGAGGAATGAGGTTTCTCTTCCTCAATGCTTGGGGTTTGATAAGGTGATTTAGTCCACCACCTGGGCCATTTGGTGTAGAATTGCTAATAGCCTAAATACAGATCCTAAGCACCAGGAAGGTAAGGGTGTCCTAATACACAGGCAGAAAAACAGGACATGTAGTTGGAGACTAGGCTAGACATGATTTGACACTGGGGAGGGCCAGCCATCAGAAGGAGCAGGGAGAGTGGAGTAAGACCTCAGGCCTGAAAATATAGGGCAGCAAGAAAGAAGCCAAGTCTTGCTCACGGAAGTAGGTAGGACACGTGAAGGAAAGAACTTAATGTTAAGGAACAGCCGAGATCCTGGGGATAGAGCTGTGGGTCACAGCCAGAGAGATTCTGGCAGCAACGTTGTGAGGTGAACTCACAAACTCTAACGGTGAGTCTTTAAAATTCCATTGGTTCTAAACAGGATTTATAGAGAGCCAATTACGTCTTAAGCACATGTTAAGCACCTGTGATATGTGAAGACTTTTATTAGGCACTGTGGGGGTATAGAGATGACATTGTTTCCAAGGGGTTCACAGTTTGGTAGGGCAAAAATTAAAGTTAAATAAATGATAATAGTGTATCAAATAGGTTAAGAATAGGATGACAGGGAAGGGAATGTTGTAGTGGTTAAGAGCTTGGGCTCTGGGTTCAACGGATCTGAGTTTAGATGCCGATTCTCCATTATAGGTTGCATGATCCTGGGCAAGTCACTATGCTTCCCCTAGCTTCAGTGTCCCTTCTCATAAACACAAATAATAATAGTACTTACCTACTGTATAAGAGTCTTTTGATGATCAAATTTTTTTGCCTGGTGCTTAGTAAATTCACAATAACATTGACTATTATTTGTAGTAAAAGTTATAATGATTGGGGGGAAGCTAATATCAGAAATGTTTCCAAGAAACGGTGGCATGTGAGCTGAATATTGAGAAATAAAGAGAAGTTGGCTGGGTCTTGGTTTGGGAAGACACTAACGAATTGCATTTGTTTTTTAATTATACCCTGCTAAGTTCCTCGAATGATTTTAGGTAGGATGATGAATCCAGAGTTAGTCATTGAGAGTGAGATGCCAGTGAGCAAGCAACACAAGATGTTTTCACTCTTCATTTCTAACCCTGTTATAATCTCACATATTTGCCTCATTAATGATGGTAGCTCCATGAAATGAATACAACTATTAATTGTTTTTCTATTTGATTTTGAATACTAATAGAAATAACACAAAATGAAATGCATAATGCTGAAATTGTACCCAGTAAACTTTGTTTTGATTGAAATATTGACATTTAAGTCTCAACCCAGGAAAATGGGCCTTGCAAGGAAAAAACAAAACAAAACACCTTTACTTTGGGCAAAATGACAATAGATAAAATTTGGTATGGACAAAAAGAAACAAAATAAAACCAATTAATAAATCAAATCTTTGTTGTAAATGTAGAAAGGAGTTAATTGAAATTCATTCAAAACAAAGAAATTTTAGTAAAATAAAAATTTAGTAAAGCTTAATTGTACTCTATAGGCAATTAATGGAGAAATTAAATGTCCAGAGACAAGTTTACTCCAAAAGACTCCTTTTGGTTGAAAAGCTTTCCATATTGATAGGATACTGATGAACATGTTTGCATCCACAAACATAAGATCCATGGGCGCAACATAGTGGTTAAAAGTCACCAGTGCTTGTTTATGCATCCGGATGGATGGGTTGAGAAAGCAGTTGAAACTCTGTCTAGAACTTAAGAAGTCATGTTACTAATAGGGATTTTGAAGTCATCACCACATAAGTATTAATCTAGTTTTTGGTGGGGATTTATTTATTTTTTTTGCATCTTCCATAAATAATCCATGCCTAGGAATCCTAATATATAAAGAGCCAGGGTCTGTAATGTCCAAAACGACCAAACGGATGCCTGAATGCCAGGCTGCGCGTGCAGCGGAAGTCAGTCCTGGGTCCCGGCACTGCGGCGATCCAGCACTGACTACCGCTGCTGCAGGCACCATGGCACCTAAGCACTGACTGCTGCTGCCAAGGCAGGTGCGATGCGATTGGTTGGGGGGCCCCACCATCGCCCTGCAGATGGAGGCCCAGGCTACCCAGACGGCGGCGGTGGGTGGGGCCTCCCTCTGTGGGGCGATCAATCAATCGTGGGGCTCCCAGGAGACTGTGAGAGGGCACAGGCCAGGCTGAAGAACCCCCCCCACCACCACCACCACCAGTGCACGAATTTCGTGCACCGGGCCTCTAGTAACCTAATCAATGTCTTGAATGTCAGCCCCGCAAGCATTATGAACAGAGGATTTGCACCTGTACAGTCATTTTAACTTAGCCCTTACTGAATACTTTATAAAAAACGAACTCTCAGAGCTTTGAGAATAATCAGAGTGAAGCTGAGGTCCACCAACACTTGGACATCTAGAGTATAATCACAAATACTGCTAAGAAATACACTCTCTCCAGTTCATAGATGAAATATTTTTATCCTTATGTTCCTATTCACTGAACATGTCTTGTTCTTTTAAAAACTGTTTTTTTTTTGTGGGTGTGTTTTTCTTTTAATTTGCTGCTATTGATTTCCTCATTCTCCACTTCTCGAGGTGATGGAAGATCTAGAGGAAACATTTGAAGAACTGGAGAACTACTCCTATTCCTTGGACTATTCCTCCCCAGCGTCTCCTTTGGAAGAGAAAGCCCCCCTGGAAGTTGCTCACTGGGTCTCCCTGGTGTTGTACTGCTTAGCATTTGTTCTGGGCATTCCAGGAAATGCCACTGTCATTTGGTTCACGGGTTTCAAGTGGAAGAAGACAGTCACCACTTTCTGGTTCCTCAATCTGGCTGTGGCGGATTTCATTTTCCTTCTCTTCCTGCCCCTCTACATCTCCTATGTGGCCATGAATTTCCACTGGCCCTTTGGCCTCTGGCTGTGCAAGGCCAATTCCTTCATTGCCCAGTTGAACATGTTTGCCAGTGTTTTTTTCCTGACGGTGATCAGCCTGGACCGCTACATCCAGCTGGTCCATCCTGTGGTAGCTCATCGGCACCGCACGCTAAGGAACTCCCAGATTGTTACTGTGCTCGTGTGGCTTTTGGCTTCTCTAATCGGTGGTCCTTCCCTATACTTCCGGGAGACTGTGGAGGTGAATAACCACATTTTTTGCTACCACAATTTCCACGAGCATGACTCTGACCTCGCTTTGAAGAGGCACCATGTCCTGACCTGGGTGAAATTTGTTAATGGGTACCTTACCCCTTTACTTACAATGAGCATTTGCTATTTGTGTCTCATCTTAAAGGTGAAGAAGCAAAGCATCCTGGTCTCTAACAGGTATTCCTTGACCATCCTAGCTCTGGTCCTGGCCTTTTTGATTTGCTGGACGCCTTATCACATATTTAACATTTGGGAGCTCATGGTACACCACGGTGGCCACTACCACCAGGTGCTGCGGGCCGGCCTCCCCCTCTCCACCGCTTTGGCATTCCTCAATAGCTGCTTGAATCCCATCCTTTATGTTCTAATTAGTAAGAAGTTCCAAGCGCGCTTTCGAGCCTCGGTTGCCGAGATACTGAAGTACACGCTGTGGGAAGTCAGCTGCTCTGGCACGGTGGGCGAGCAGCTTAGGAGCTCTGAAACCAAGAAGTCGGGTCTCCAGGAAACAGCTCAGTGAAATCCTTCTCTCCCACAAATCGGCATAAGGCTTTCGTGTGGGTCCCCTGACAGATGCTTTCAGATGGTTTGGTTCCAAGATACAGAGCTGACCGTAGCTTTCTGTTGTTGTTTTTGGTCAGTTTGTTAGCATCACATTTTTGTGTGGATATAAAATGAAGGAAAGATCTCCATTTTTTTTCACCTGCAACTTATACTACGTGTCATTCTTGCTAATTATACCATAGTGGATTAATGACCACTGTGGAGGCGAGATCAGTTATTATTTTAAAAATCTTAATAACTTTCTCTAAGTCCTAAATCTTAATATTAAATATGTGATCAACGCATTTTGAAAAATGGAAAATTAAATTTGCTTAAGTTCACTTTAATTTAACCTATTAGACAAATTCTTAAAATGCAACGTACGTGTACTTCTTTATTTCATGTAACCTTTGTATATACATTTATGAATTAAACTAATAGTTGGTTATAGTAGTTTAAAACATTCTTCCAGTTGGTTCTTAATAAATTATCTTTATTGTTGAAAGTATTACAGATGCTGCCTCCCCACCCAGCCAGTTGGTTATTAATGCTTCGTAAACTGCCCCCAAATCTAGTTGCTTAAAACAACAATTTAGTAGTATTACATCTCACAATTCAGAGCCAGGAATCCAAACAAAGCACAAAAGAGAGGGTCCTCTCTGCTTCACAGTGTCTGGAGCCTCAGCTGGACTGGGAATACCCAAATGGCTGAGGTTTCCAACAGCTGGAGGCTGGCTGAGCAGCTCTCTTCCCTTCCCTCTCCTCTCCCCATCCCTGCCCTCCCTTCAACCTCTCTCCCCTCCTACCCCCACTCTCGCCTCTCTTTTCTCCCTCTCCCTTCACACAGCTGCTCCCGCATGGCACCTCAGGGTAGCCAGACTTCTTAAATGGCAATTTAGAGCTCTGAGAAACCAAGGTGGACATTTCCAGTCTTCCTAAAAGCTGTGCCCTGCACAAACACAGTACCACTTCCCTTGTACTAGTATTTTATTGGTCAAAACAGATATAAGCCTTTTATTTCTGTAATGATCTTTAGATAGGCATCAATAAAGCAACCTTGAAGTCAGATGAAAATCTGTTGCCTTATAGACTGTGATAATATTCTGCCCTGTTTTCATTTATTCCTTTAGCAAATAGGTGGGTATTGAAGAGATACGCAGAACCATGGTATATAGACATTGAGAATGCCAAGAATCACAAGGTACTTACAGTTTAGAGAGTGAGATTTAAGTTGCATAAAAACAATCACAGAAAAAGGCAGATGGTAATAAGGGCCATAGGAGAGCCAGGAAAAGAAATGGCATCTAGGTGAAGAAACATGGGAATTCTATGTCCTTGCCTTTGAGGTTCCCTAAAGATTCTGCCCCTATCTTTTGTCCCTGCTGACATCCTCGTCTTTTATGAGTATAAATTCTGCTATGCACTGCAAATTAAAAAATATGCTTAATTATATATATAGTTTCTCAATTTTATTTTGAAAGTTATTAGGGGAGCTATGTTATTTCTTGATTTAACACCCTTTTAAAAAACTCTTTATTAAGGTAATACTTACATGTCCTTATCCCCCTTCACACCCTTTTGATTTCATCTCTTCATTTTGGAAATGCTAATGTCAGGTCATTTATTGGCTGTGTTCTTTATTGTTAGCCCCATGGAACAATTAGGTCTGGTTTGGAAATTATCCCACCAAAATGTGCGGCATAGCTCAGCCTGTCCGCAACTGGTCATTCCCAAATTCATGTTTTCGGCCCTATGCAGTGTAGGTTAAGGAAAGGCCGGGAGAGAAAGGCTCTTTGTGCAGCCTTTACCCTTGACCCCTCTACCACCAGGGTTTGAGATTTTCCACTCTGGGTTCCCTTTGACCCTTGAGGGACAGGTCCTGGGTTCCCAGGATCAGGAGAGAAGCTGGAGGATCCAAGAAAAAAAAAATTTCTTAGTCTCATCCTTTTTTGAGCAAATGGAGACTCAAGGATATGGGAGAAAGAAAGTTGAGGAGCAGGAAAGGGATTCAGCAGCCAAGAGCAGAAGGAAATCAATGGAGCAGGTCGTATTCTGGAAGTTACATTTCAAGGCGGTGCTTTCTAACCTTAGTGGGTTAGGAGCCCACGCAGAACCATTTATCGAATTTGGTTCAATGGGCACAGTATCGCAGGCCTGTGAACTCTGCAAGGGCCTATGATGATATTTGAGATCTTTTTTTTTTTTAATATATTTTATTGAGTTTTTACAGAGAGGAAGATAGAGATATAGAGAGTTAGAAACATCGATGGGAGAGAAACATCGATTAGCTGTCTTCTGCACATCTCCCACTGGGGATATGCCTGCAACCCAGGTACATGCCCTCGACCAGAATCGAACCCGGGACCTTACAGTCTGCAGGCCGACGCTCTATCCACTGAGCCAAACCGGTTTCGGCAATATTTGAGATCTTAAAAAACATGATTGGATCTAGAATACAAAAGGAAGACTGAAAAAGTAAAAACAAATACTTAATTACATGTCTATAAAATATACCTTCATGTCACTTGGTCAAAGGAAGTATTTAATAATTATCTAAAAATATATTTAACATGGGTTTCAATATGTTTCAATATTTGATGTGAGGAGTGGAGCTTCCAAAAAGAAAAATGCTTTAAGGAAGGTTTACAAAGGTCTTAGAGGAATTCATGTAAGAATCTAATGAAAGTTATCGGTTCTTTCTACAGAAAAATGCTTTTAAATAAAATATCAGGGAGGCCTTAGGCCCCAGGCTAAGAATTCCCCTGTTTAGTAGCTTTTAAAATAGCTGCCAGTGGGACTGTTGATTGGGACTCACTAGGAGAAAGCAATAACCAGTACAGGTACTTTCCAGCAGAATAATTTTTTGTTCTCAGTTTGAGGGAAGATCCAAGGAGGAAAATAGAAGGACCCACACTTAGACCGAGGACTGGGTACTGCAAACCTCCTCCCCGGTGGTTGGAATCTGGTCAATGAGGCTTACTAGGGGTCTAATAGCCACGAGTAGGATGAATGACTAAAAAGACAGAAGTGGGAGGCTGGACAGGCACTGCAGCAGTTTGGAGAGGAAGCGAGGGAGCTCAGTGCCTAGTTGGCAGGAGGGTAAAGAATCCCAGGAAGCTCAGGGACTTGAGCACAGACTTATTGAGACAGACCTGCCTCCTCCTCAGTGATAGGAAGCTCTTAGGAATAGCTCTAGGGCAAGTCCCAAGGCCTCCGGAGGCTGAATATCTAGATTTGGATTATGGCTCCAACACATCCTAGCACTGGGAGCTTGGCTAACGTAATTCATATTTCCAGACCTCAGTTTTCCCTATCTGTGAAATGGGTATAACAATAGTATCTGCCACATCAGGCTATTGGGAAAATTAAATGAGTTGATGCAGGTATTTACAGGGCTTCACCTAAAAGCACTTAAAGTGGTACTTAGCCCTATAAATTCCCGATAAAAATTCGCTAGATTAGCTAGTATCCTTACTCAGTGAGATTCCTGGCATGTTCTGACATTGGAACTTGCTTATAAATGTTAGATCCCTTCCTCCTCTCCTCTTGAATGAACATCAAAATTTCATAGGAAGAATCGGGTAACTACACAGACAACTTTAAAACAAGACAGTTTATAAGTACTGCAAAAGAATAATGTGCTGGGAGGCTGCAAGGGGCAGGAAGGAACAGAATTTTTTTAAAAAAAGACCTCTTGCAAGAGGTAGTTGAAGTGCATTTTGAAAAATGACTACCATTTGACAAAGTGCGGTGAGGAAAGAGGCTATTTTAGATGGATGGCACAGCAAGAGCAAATGTGCAGAGATTGGAAAACACGGGCTGTGTTCAGAAAAGACAATAGTCCCATTTTATAGGGACAAAGTGAAGATGGGAGATTCGGAATTGATGTCAGGCGTGAAGAGCAATCCATAGTTCTTCACTATGCTTACATATGGGCAATGAATATTTATAAGTCTATGGACACTTCCTTTGATTTTTACTTTCCTGAAAACTATTCAGGCCAATGAAATTCCAAACGATAAACTCGTTTGGGATATTTCCTGAATGCAACTATTATCACACAGGGCATGCAATGAGAGGATGTTTACCAGTCTCCATTTCCAATTTAAGTTTACCCTTAAGTGATACCTTCTCACTCTCACCGAGGGTATGAAGCAAGGGTTACACTGATGAAATGGGATTAAATTGTATAAAAGCAGGGATGAAGAACTTTCCCCATTCTATTACCAACACATTAGTGGACTCTGAAGACCTCTCACTAGATGAGTAATCAGGCAAGTCGTCTTTCAGTACTCCCTCTAATCTATGAATGGTGATAACAGTGTCTGCCTTGTTTATCTCCTCGGCTTATTATGAAGTTCAAATTAGACAATGTATATGAGGCGTGTATTTTTTTTAACCTTTTTATCCTAAGGACAATAATTGCCATTGCCAAATTGTATTTTTTTTTTTTTTTGCGGGGGCGGAGAAGGGGGCACACGGGGGGTGGGGAGATTATACATATGTCTCAAAACACAAATGCAATTCTTTTTGTATATGGGTCTTTGTCTATAAGCTTATCTTTGATAAAAATAGTCAATGAAAAATCCAGCATTTTCCATTTGCTATAGTGTCCATTATTTTTAAAAGTAATTCTATTAAGCTTATAGAATATTTCACTGAGTATATATGCCACATGCAGTCATTTCCATTTATGTTAGGATTATAACAGTCCTTTTATGTATCTGCTTCCATCCACACCATGTCCAGGTCAGAGCTCTGCCTTTATTTTGTCATTCTCTGGCTCCCCGTGAATGAGCCAGCGTCTAATACAAATGCCTCTACAACCTGGCCCACCCTATATAATTCCACACACTGCAAAACACAGCCAAACTGGTTGAATTGCCTCCCAGATGTCTATCTATCATTCTGCCTTTCACACCCTCCTGGAACATTCTCTCTCGAACATTCTTTCTCTTTTTTCACAAACTGATCAAAGTCTATCCAGTTTAAGCCCCCAATTTCTCTAAAAATGTTTTCTTAATTCTAGCTTTCCCTGACTTTCTGAACTTTTGGATTGCTTGCTTAATCACAAAATGACTTTTATACTTTTTAAAATTGTTATGTGTTTGAACCACCTCCCCATAGTAATTTTCTTCAATTCTTTGTGTTTTTATAGCAGCGTTAACAGTGATGCTGAGTGAATCATGTTTAATTCCCTCCCACACTGTACCCAGCCCTGCGCTGGGGATGCTGATCACAATAACACGATTTGTTATTGTAATCACCTATGGGGCATGCAAAAAGAGGTGACCTCTAATTTTTCCTGTCTTCCACTCCAAAGACAAACAGGAGAAAAATATCTGTTTGTCTACATATACTTAGGCCCTCTGAAGTAATGGGTTCAAAAACAGTTCATTCAGTATCCTGGCTCACACGCAAATGTGAGCATTGCTCATAAATATCAAAAAAATTGAAAGCAATTTAAAAATCTAATAAATAGCCTGGTTACATAAGATATGAAACAATGGGTTATGTAACTTAAAAATGGAGATGATTTTTATGTACTGACATGAATATCCAAGATACAGATGAACTCCAAGATACCTATTTCTATGAACAAAATGCAAAGTACACACGGTTTGGGTTGTATGCTGCAGTTAGTCCAAACGAGTTTGCCTCGCCTAGCTCTGGAAAGACCTAAGAACCTGGTGATGCTGGTTGCTT